ATACGCATATATAGTTATGAATATTTATTATGATGTTATTAAAATGAGTATTTATTCGTTGATCGTTTGGCAATATTTATCGATCACGCTCCGCCTGGCGCATGTTACTTTGGTGGATTGCAGCAGCTGGTTGTCAATAGAACTAATTTGCGTTCATATGTATGTAAGCGCGATTCTCTGTTTCTCTTGCGTTTGTCGCTCGTTTTGAGTGTTCAGATGCGAGCGACACGTGTGTGTCGCTCGCAGACGTGCGTGCGAGCGACAGCAAACTTTCATGTTCGATGATTTATTTGGTCGTGAAATGCGTATTTATGTTGGCATGAATTGCGGCGATTATCACCGATTATTATCAGTCATAATCGATTCCTTTATTCATTCACTATCCGATTGTCGTCATTAACAGTTTCCAAATTGTGAACATGATTGAAAAATATCGAGCAATGAATTAGTTCGTTGTTCAGTTTTATGAATAGACTCGAACTTTTCTGCGGATTTAATCTGTGCGCTAAACTCAATCGGATCTTTAGCCAAAACTAAAGCCTGATCGGAAGTAATTCAAGCTATGATGTTGGCTGTCGTGTCACAACCAACAACAACATGTTTATTATATGTTGTTGTTGGTTTGTATCAGTTCAATTTTTAGATTCTGAAACACTGCTTGTAAGAAATAAGCCAGAAATGAATGAATTTGCAGGTTTCATATGTGATTGTTGATCTCGTCGTTTATTTATACCAGTGTCGTTTGATAGCCTCTACTGTTGTTATCATCGTTATTTTATCGTCATCCTGAGTTCGTTACAACATAGTTATCACCAATCATAATGCCAACTATATCGAATGTGACTATGGTTGGTGATCTCTTCTTACGTACCACGCTCGCACGTAGTCTGGCTGGTTTCTTTACATGGGCCGCTCTCATCATCACATCCTACCAGGTACGTAATTTTAGTTTCATTATCAGTATTGCTTTTCTTTTCGTTATTATTATTTAATATTTTCATCGTCGAGCATTTTCGTGGACTTCAACATTATGTTTCAACCAGCACTCATGACAACTGAATTTGATTGTCCTTTCCGTGACCATCATCGTTATTCTAGTATTATTATGACTAGAATTGCTTTTATGATTGCTGCCTAATATTTGTTGATAATAGTTAATGAATGAACCAAAACGCATAAAGAATTTGTTTCGCAGATATATCAACACCTACGATGGTATTCTTGCCCAACCGAACAACGCTGGATAGTGAGAATATTATTCATTGTACCAATGTATTCATTAGATTCGTGGCTAAGTTTATTATTTTTATCAAATAATGTTTATGTGTATTTCAATGCCATCAGAGATTGCTATGAAGGTGAGTGATAGAAGTTGTTTATTCATTCATATATTCAATGAACAGTTACACTGACAGTAACTTCATGATTTGGATGGAATTGACGATTGAGTTTTTTTGCATTTCAGCATTTGTAATCTACAGCTTTTTGAGTCTTTGCTACGAGTATTTGGGTGGTGAGAGTAATATCATGGCTGAAATACGTGGAAAACCAATTCGGTTCGTTATTTAATCTGTTTTTAAAAATTCTTTCACCTTAGTTCATTTTTCATATTTCTTCCGAGGATGTGAGTTGAAAATCTGTGATGAGCTGAAAGTTCTTTCCCGTAATAATAATATGTGAATTCGAAAGAAATTGAATAAGTGATAATAGTGGTTCATTTGGATGCCGAACAGTAATGAATAAACAAGCACTTGTTTGTTTGTTTGTTTATTAATCAGATTTCAGTCCAACAAACTATTACACGTTGACGTGTTGTTTGGCTGGTAAGCAATACACGATTGAATTTCTACGATTTTGTAAGCAAGCAACGTTACAGTTTTGTATTATAAAACCGATTATGGCCACCTTAACAGTGATTCTAATGATGCTTGGAAAGTATGAGGACGGTAATTGGAGGTAATCTTTATTTATTATACTTTTATGGTCGTTGCTATGGCTATGGCTACTGTTGTTATTATGATTGCAATAAAATGTGATAAAAATTGAAGTGGCGAGCAAGGTTATCTCTACATAACAATCGTTTACAATATATCCATATCGTTGGCCCTGTATGGACTGTTTCTGTTCTATACGGCCACACGTGATCTACTATCTCCATATCGTCCAGTACTGAAATTTTTAACTGTTAAATCAGTTATATTTTTATCATTTTGGCAAGGTTCGTTTTATAATCATATTCGTTTATTTGTTCGTGTTATAACTGTTGTTTGTTATTTTTATCAACTGTTGTTATGACTGCATCATTTGTCGTTGCAATAGTCGTTATTCTTTGTTATTATTGTTCAGGTACTCTGTTGGCCGTTCTTGGCTCAACATCCGCAATTGATCCGGTTTATGATGAGGATGGCCAAGAGGTTATGTCGCGTGGCACTGTGGCCGCAGCTTGGCAAAATTTCTTCATTTGCATCGAAATGTTCTTCGCGGCGATCGCGTTGCGTTTCGCATTCTCGATTAATGCTTACATTGATGCGACCAGCAGTAAGTCATTCTCATTGTTCAATATTATCGTTATTGATGATCATCACTGCAACAGTAATAATTGATAACATTTAAAGTGAACCCGAATGTTGACGGACGTCCAGTAACACTTCAGAGCATTAGCAGTTCATTAAAAGAAACAATGAATCCGAAAGATATTATGCAAGACGCTATTCACAATTTCCATCCACAATACCAACAATACACACAGGTTATTCATTATTATTACTAAGGATGTTGTTATTGTTTGCTGTGTACATTCCTGGTGCAGTATTTGTATTTATGAGTGCATGTTTAGGTGAAAGAAAAGAATTAGAAATGAAATTGATTAGAGAGAGATTTTGGTTGGCCCGAGTTGCTTCGTTAGATCGGTGTTATATATTGTAATTATTTTTGTTCGTTGTTGTCATTATTATTGTGGTCGTTCATTTTTGCATTGTACAACCGTGTTATCATTATTATTATCACCATTCTTATAATGTGTCTCGATCATATTTGGGTAGGGTGTGGTGTATTAAGAATTCTAGAAAGTGTATTAATTGTGTACTGAAGAAAAGTGGTAATGATGAGTGAACGAACGAACAGTTTAAGAGTTGCGTTGTGTGTCATTCTATTCTGTGTATTAGGTTTTTCATACCATTGAAAGTTAACTGAAATGAGATAGTGATGATTTTCGTTTTTATTATTTTAAATTTGGTTGGGTTTTTTTATGTTGCTTTTGGAGAAGAGAAGAGTTGTGTTGTTGTGCAGAACGAGTTTTTGAAATGTGAAATTGCTGCTCAGAGTACTGTTGTTTGTATGTTTGCATATATATTGCGTTTGTAGTGTTGTTGGTATCGTTTTTATTGTGTACATCATTATTGTGGTCATTAATAATTCTTTTTCAAAAAATGTTAGAGTGAAGTGAAGGCAAATGAATGCATTTTATATAAAAATTGAGATTTTTTTGGGAATTTGTAGAATTTTGGTGTTGATTTTAAATTTTAAATAAATTTCAGCACTCAAATCCGTCGCGATCGGTCAGTGATAAAACTTTCCCAGGTTTTTTCTTTGATTTACATATCTACATATGAGTAATCTGTAATATTTAAAATGATACGTCTCTAATGATAATTTCAATAGTGACAATGATAATATTGATGTTAATTGATATTTATGGTTAAATAATAAGCCATGCAATAATAATATTAGTAATAATGATCCATACAACATAAGAATCTAGTAATGCGTCGTAATTTTTTCATTATTTAAATAACTTCGATGCGGTATTTTATACCAATTAGTTTATTTTGTGCACATTTTATCTCATTCTGGATTGAATTGGATTGGTTTTGCATTTCATTATTAGTTTTTATTTTTGTTCATATAATAATAGTAATGAATAATAAAATTAGTAGAAAATAATAATACTAATGAATAATAATAAATTGAAGGGGATAATGAGCGCTAGATGGGATGACGAAGAGAATACTGAGCGAAGATTAGCGACATCGGTAAGTGGTGGAACAAATTACTCAACTATGGCTTATACTGGGCCGAATGGTGTCAGTACGCCCACCACACCAATTAAACAATAATGTTTACTATTATCATTCGATTTTATCATTACTATCAGAAATGCACGCATACATATTTATTTTGTATGATGAAAGATTGTTTTATGTGGTTATAATCGTTATACAGTTGGCTACATTTATGTTCACAATAATGTTGTTTATTTGCATTATAATATGATTATAAGAGAATATCCATTATTATTATTATTATTATTATTATTATTATCAAACTTTTATGGTATAAAGACTACCATGTATTGTATTATATGGTATTGTGTTGCTAAATGATTGCGTTGCGATGGTAATAGGTGATAAGAGGTCAGTGATGAATAGTTTTTTATCATAAAGTTCTTTCTTTTTTTCAAGTTCATTGATTCATTAATTTCATTCCAAATTTGTTTTCGAATGGTCCCGAGTGCATTGAAAGACGGTGACAAAGTGATCGTTTCCTATGCTGTATTAGCCTGTGCTTTCACGCTGCGGACGGTTTTGGCCACGTGATAGATCGTTATTCCTTTATTCCCCGTCTTTCTATCAGTTCGTGTGGCCATCACTCCTCCCCTCTTGATTCTGCCCTGACCCACGCCCGTCTACTCCACTCCTCTCTTTTGCTTGTAAACGACATTTGAAGGGAGATAAAAAAGACTTTTTTGTCTTACATTCATATTTTCATTCGAATTCTTTGCATTCATCTTGATTTTTGTGATCTTTATTCGTCGATAAGTTGTTCTCTGTTTTGAATTTAATTTCAATTTATTCCATAAGTAAGTGTGCAGCTAAGGCACCAATTTTAGTGTATTTATACGATTTCGGTTAAGACTCAATTGAATCATTTGTTCTCCTTGAGTTTTTTTTTTTTGTATAAATTTGTTGCTGTTTTCTAATGAGTCATTTCAGTCTGCAGTGTCCAAATCTTATGCGCACCGTATTTTGTGTTGTTTAATTGGAGTTTTCCTTCTCGCGAGAGGATTTACTAAAACGTGTTTGTAGAAGCATTCTTTTCTTGTCCGTCTCATTTTTATTATTATCCGTTATTCTTTATATCGCATTCGAATGATTTTAATTTCATCGTTTTGCATTTAAACGATTACATTTTCCCTCTGATTATTTTTCTCTCATATGTTCAGTTTGACCGAGTAATTAGTATCCAGTAATTAGTATTCAACAATAACGATAATTGTAATCAGTCTTCAAATAAGGAGGATATCATCGTTCATTTTGATGTCTGTGGTAATGTGAGTGTTTTGTGTATGTTGTACGTTTACTACTTACTTTTTTGTATGTGCTTATTATTATTACTATTATCATTATCGTTACTACTATTATTTTGATTATAATTATTGATGTTGACATTAAATAATGTTTTTTCAAAATTTAATTTCTTTTGTGTAAATGTTTACCGACGTTTACGATCGAGCTGAAGCGAAGGGTCATGAAGTAATATAGTGTTAAAAATAATAGTCACAAGATATGAATTATACTAATAAGAATTAAATTGTAAACGTGAGATGCAAAAAGTGATATTACAGGTAACTGTCATAGAAATAAATGATAACATATAAGTAATTCTTAAAGTCTACTTGTAAAATATGAATAAGGATGAAGTTTCAGTTACGAAATTCGTAACTGAAATTCATAATACGAATAAATAAATTTCAGCATATTAAAGCATAACGTTGCTGAACGAAAAAGACGGCCATTGTTGTTGTCAAATAGATGAGCAGTGAGGGATGGGGAATTGCAGTTGATTTTGTAGTTGTAGTTGATTCTTGAGAATCGTCTAGCAGTTTCATACGATGGCGATATGTAACGAGTAGGTCAAGAATAGCACCATTCGACCAACCGAAACCTGGCTGAACAAGACAAGGAGGAAAAACATATTGCTATTCATAAATAGTCATTGAATGGAGTTTATAAGGACACTGTATGTATTTAAAGATACTTGGTAAAGTTATTCGTAATAGTACTAGTAGAATATTGCAATGAAATGGAATTATTTTGGAATTTAGGCTCGTTAAGAAGTCGAAGAATTTTTTGTATTGTTCGCTTTGAGCAATATTTATCAGTTACTCACCTGAACTGAATATTCACCACCCACGCCTGGCTTAGGAACCGTTCCGATTACGTCGTACTGAATATAATAAGTCATTAAAAATAATAACAATCTTAAGAACAACGGTACTAGTAGTAATGATGATTATAGTAATACCTTCTCCCACATATGTCCAGTTGCCTCGAAGACTTTATAATTACCATGAACCCATTTCTGTGCTAGTTTGAATGCCTAAAAAATGTGTGCAGTAGCCACAAAGGTGGAATAAACTCCTAACAATTGGAGAAAATGAAAAGTATGATGTTGAGTAGAATCGAACAACTGCTTGTATGATGAAGTAATCATTGCTTTATTGTGCAACGATAGTGATAATAGCAGTAATAATACTTGTTCTTGCATTTCAGGATTGAGAGATTTTCGAAGACCTTCTATAATCATGTGATTGAGTGGACTCCAGCCGTTCGGAAAGTCCCACTGCTGTCCACTATCAATCAAACTTGTTGGTACACCACTTGGATAATCAAAAACACCACTTTTCTGCAATTAGCCGTAATAAGATTGCGAATTCCTATTATTCACATCAGATTTGTTGAGCAGTGCACTAGTACATAATGTTTGAGTGATTTGTTTCTTTATTCATTTGCTCATCACTTAGTTGAGATTTATTTTTTTGAGTTTTGTTCTGTTTTGATTTGTATTGTTAATCAAAAATGGGTGAAGTTTGACTTTACAAGAGATCAGAATAGAAGTGAGTGAATAAAGAACTGTTGAGATGATTATTGCATCTATCTCACAATCAGCATCAGATTTATCAAAGATGAAGAATCCCCGTCATTGATATGGTTAGTGGTTAGTTGATCGTGCACTTTTTAAAATATCACTTCAGAATTGTATTGGTGTGTTTGACCGCAATAGAGACTCATTGATAAGGTGTGTGAAGAAAAACGACGAACGCTCATAAATTTGTAGATGCGTTCAGATTTGGCCATATTCAGCAGTTGATAGCAATCGCCGAATAACGGTAGTGCAATGGAAGCGTAAAATTTGGTGTTATGTTTCAACGTTTCAATGTTGTAATCAAACCATGCACCATGTGTGTCGTTATAAAAAACATACTGCATTGCATACATAAAATCATTCTTCATCCTGTTGTATTTTTTCGATTCACTAAAATTACCTGTAAGCATTATTTTCGTTTTCATGATGAGTGATTGACAATGACAAAGTTGAGTAAAGATGATCAAATGAAATGAAGTTCATAGCGGGAGTTCACAAGGAGGGAGTATGGACGTAAGGACTGGTCACTGGGGAATAATTGCAATTCATTTCTAGATCAGTTCAGCAGTGAAATAATGAAATGATTAATCGGTAACTCAAAACACTTGAATGAGAAGTCAAACGACGAACGAGTATGAATAGAACGAAGAAGCTGGTTTGTAGGAAATGATTATTATCGACAGGAGAAGAAATGCTCAATTGTACTCAGCTCATGTGTACTTGGTAATAGGCGGTAAATCAGCTTGTTGCAGCAGCCATTAAGAGACGACTTTCAACAATCAAACTAACCGACAGTTCGATAGAAATATTTCAGTAGATCCATATTCAAACACATAATCGCATTCAAATCCACCGGTACAATTGAAGTGGTTTGCACACTAGCCAATGTTTCCCCATCTGCAAACCAACGTGTACTAAAATCCCACCCGGATTCTGCACTCGACGCGATATTCTGAAAGAAATGCGAGTCGATTGGCTGTACACTCGAAGGCTTGCATACCTGATAAAGAAGTGCTCGTGCTTCAGCGGGAAGCTGCTTGGCGACGGTGATATCCTCACGATACGATTCGGGTCGTGGCACGTTACTGTTCGTTCGATAACGATAGACCGTGTAGTTGCTTTGGTTTAATCCGATTACGCTCACTGTTCTGAACGGTCGAAAGAATTCAAGCAATCACGGTTTGTGTTGATGTGAGTACTTAAGGCTGTAAGCGTGCAGTAATCTTGAGTGTGGCACTCCGAAGGTCTAACGGAAAGATCAGCCAAAGGCTTCTGTCGGAGCAGATATTTGGCGTAAAAATGCTGTTTTCAGATCAGATGATACTCACTTTAAATAAAACGAAATCTGCTCTGAACATCATTGAGCCCCTAGTGGGTGAAGCTGTCGAAAGAAAATGAAGTAGTTATTGTTACGTCAAGTAATACAAACCGATTGGTTTGCCAGAAATGGAATTCTTTGGCTAGAGCCGGCAAGATGTCACGTAAAAAATCGATATCATGCGTTTTCTCGAAATATTCGTAGACCATTGAGGATAGAAACGGTGGTTGTGAACGTTCTAAGTAGTAAACACGTCCACCATTCGGAACAAATCCATATCTGTGGTTAAATACGATACAATCATTTAATTGAATTAATCAGTCGTTTAACTGAATTTATTATTGATTATATCATTTCTTTCTTCCCTCGCTGCATTCTTAGTCAGTGGACGATCAGTTACTGAAGTAGTAATTGTTTGAATTGCTGTTGTTACCTATCGACAACACTTGCAAGATTTTCAAGCATCGATTTTGTGGTCACATTCATGCCGCAGGCCAACAATCCTTTAATAATCCAGTACGCATCCCAGTAATAATATTCACGGAATCGACCTCCAGGAACGACAAATTCATTCGGCACGTATATCAACGAATGACGATCCGAATTCTTCAAATCAGGTTTCACCTGAATACTTCAATAAAAAAATACCGACAGTTCTTGTGATAGCAGCTGAAAGAAACACAATGAAATCAACCATTGAATTGCAGAAGTCTTTATGAGCGCTCAGCACGAATTATCTTGATTTGTGAATATTAGTATCGATTCTTATGGTGTGTTTCTTCGGTGACTGATCAGTGATTGCTTATTGGTTAATCTTCACGAGTCAGTAACAATATTTCAAGTCCAATTCACTCAAACGAATGCTACGGTGAATTCGATTGATTGGTTGTGATTGGTTGATGAATTATGAATTTATAATAATTAATTATGAATATGAATTATGAATTAATTATGAATAATTATGAATTATGTTTTATAATATGGGTGAAGATTAAAGGTTAAGAGAATTGAAATAACGACAACCTTACGACACAACATTTTCCATATTTGGTTTAAATCGAGTGCAAACTTTCGTAGTGTTTTATCACTGATTGCCATTAAATCTGGCGGATACGGTTGCCAATCGCTTAGCTCGCAATCTTCGAGTTCAGTTCCGGGTGGCGAGAAGAATTCATTTAAGAAAGCGATCAGATCATCGCGTTCGATTCTCTCAGCGGTCATTTGTGGAAAGCGTTTGTTGAATTCATCCAAAACATGTTCTGCAAGCGATAATATAATAGCACCCTACCTGATCGCAAAAATGAACTCAGATATGATTATGAGTATTCATCACTCATAATTGCCAGTCTCTTGATTCATCACTTACAAAAACGATTGGAATGGATGAATGTTAAGATAACGCACTTGGATCTTGTTTCATCGGCATATCAACAAACGTCTTCGAATCATTGAAAATGCTGTGAATATTAACCGCTCTTAGCAATTCACCAGAGCAATAGATAAAACTGCAAAAATAAAAAAATTATTTATGGATATATTGGCATTGTTTGGGTATATTATTTGAAAAGGATAAGCAACACGTACTTTTTATAAATAGATTGATAGATCAGTGGATGGATGGATGAATCTCATTCAGTTCTTTTTATTCACCTTAGTTTTTTGAAATCGCTTCTTTCAAACATTTAGCCAACTACTATCATCAACATTCCAATCAAATCAGGATGGGGCAAAGTTGGGGACGAAATCTGCACTTGGGGGCTCTGCAAATGCGGCCGCTCTCAAAAAGTCGGAGATAATAACGAGTCTCGTCTTTTTTTTTTCAAATCGACAGCATTTTGGGGTCTCTGACTACAAATTTCTCCTCCGACTCTCCCTGCGTTCACCATTTATTCATTCCCCGCACATCCCTAGTTCATAGTTACTGTTGTTGTTGTTACTAGCTTTGTTCATATTAGGAATATTGTACCACCTCTTTCTTCAAACTATTGTGAACTTAACGACTAGTGTAAAAATTGGGTTGCTGAAAATGAGCAGTCCAGTTGTTAGTGAATGTTACATATTGCATGCGTTTTTTTTTACAATCGAATATGCCGTTTAATTATCATTCTCATTTTTGTTGCTTCGACTGTTGATCGCACCGTCATTAGCGGTGCGATATTAGTAAGGATTCATTTAGTGCATAGGCATGTTCAGCATGACCCCTATGGATCGTGTAATGATGCCTATTCGACATTAAAGTATGCTCTAGCGTATGAATGAGATAGTTGTTTACTGGATGATTAGATCGACTTTAACGATATGTATACGAAATGGAGAAAGCGCAAGAAGTTTCTGCAACTACAACACCCATCGTCTCAACGTCTCACTTGAATCGTCGATGGGAGTTAAGTTCTCAAAACTACTCATCGACCAAACGAGACAAAATCAAACAACTTCATCTGAAATCTTATGCTTGATTCTATGATCTTCGAGTAATACGACAAAATTGTGAGCAATTAGCCGTTCAAAAGAATGAAACAACTTACGAATTATTTGAGTTAGTTGCATCGCAAGTGTAAACAATAGGTGTTGTTTGACTATTGATCGCCTCTGTTGAATCTTTGAACTCTTGTGACAATGGTAGTGACGATTCTTTCTCATTATTAAGACCAGTAACTATTGTAAATAATAAAAAGCAACGAAATGTGCCGCTGATAATAGAGTGACAAGCAGCTGGCATCATGAAACTGATCATGATCAGTCTTGCCGTCAATTGATCGTGCAATTAACGAATATATCCTACACTCGTGCACACCTATTAAAATTCTGAAGTGAACGATTCTACAATGAGCACAAGTGAAATGAGATTGTTTGAAAGAAATTTCGAATGACTCTGATAGGTAATTGTTGACAGGGATGAGCGAATGAACAAACAAACCAGAAAAAAGGCTTTCGTATTGAGCAGATTAGTTACTAGTCGGTGTATGATGACTGAAACGGGAGAATAAAAATTTTGGGCAATTGAAGCGAATTGTGATTGATTGATGAACGAACGCATAAATGAATGGCTTAATTCCACAGCAAACCCGTGGAGCTGATATTACCGTAGTGAATAATAAGAACACTATCCGTCGTTCATCTTTCTTACCCCGCCCCTCTGTCCACCAACAACAATACCAGTAACGGTAACAACATAGGCATTGCACATTACACTTTAATTGCTACAGTTGGGAACGTTTGAAACGATTGCGAGATAACGAATTGGAATGTAATAATGAGAAATTTTTCGGTTTGTTCATGTGACGGTGACAAAGTGATGACTCTTTGAAGAACTTATTCGGGAACGTGAATATAACAGAACTGGAACTTTGACTAGAGTGAAATTGATGAACGATTGGGTGAAGGCGCAAGCTTGTAAAGTCGACTTGATTCGTGATTGATATACGTTCTTAAATATTTACTCTAGCATTGTCTTTTTTTATTTAAATATTTACCCTACTTAAATTATCGAGAATAAATATCATGATAATGATAATAACTATCATGATAATAGTTATGATAACATTAATAATGATGATCTTAACAATAAGAGTAGTGATAATATAAGAAATGACATAGTCACTTGTTTACGATGAGAAAAATGTTGATAATAGGTTAAGTTGTTTGACTGCAGAAAGAAAGCAGTTGAAGTTCAGAGAAGCTGTTCGCATAACAAGGCTCTTTATTTGATCATCCACTCGAATGTGACCGGTTATTGCTTTATTTATGAAAATTGCTTGAAATGAATTCGAGTTGATCAAAGAATAATGAAAAATTTCAATATGTTCCGCATGAATGCGACAATTGTTAACAATTATTATTGTTATTATTACTACTGTTATTCTTATTATATTTTTATTATTGTTATTATTCTTACTTTTATTCGCACTGTTCAAACTGTTTATTGACATTCCAACAAGTAATGATTAACAAAAAAAACTAAAGATAACAATGATGATAATATCAATAATATCATAATGTTGTTATCACAATAATAGAACGAGAAGAAACGTGAATGGATTACAATCCGTTGAATAATAATTATGTAACTCATTTGGTTGGTGCGTTTAAAGGTTCCTCAAAAATGACTTCGTTATCAGAGATTATTTGATCGTTGTATGCGGGTGAAAAAAAAAGGGGAGGTCGACCAACCGACCACAATTGGAGCATATATGAAATTTAAATACACAAATCAAAACATAACTGTCAGTTTTGAGTGAAAATAAAATGATGTGATTCCGATGAAGTGATAATATTTTGAGAAGCAGTAATCTTAATAACGTGATTGATTAAATGAGTGCGCAATCAATTAGGCATTTCGTGATAAGGTGCTGATAACGGCTTCGTCAAAGAGCATATTCTGGTATATAGTTATTGCTTTTGATATTTTTACGGCTATGTAAACAAAATGTGTAAAACTTTTTAGCTGTACTGGTTAAGATGCAGTATATGTGTTCTATTGTTTTGCAATGCACGTTTCATAATTTCAGGGCAAAGACTGCCATAATATCATAGTAATAATCATAAGAAGAAGAATGATAATACCGGCAGCGTCAAAAAGCCTTTAAACATCACCTGTTGATGCATTCACTGACGAAAGCATAGAAGGTATTTTGATATGATATGATAGCTTATTGCCGAGTAAAAAAATATGTACAAGCAATAATAGAGGGGAGTGCTCTGACATCATAGCGGATGGTTGAGTAAGTAAAAAATAATAACAAATTAATTTTATCATAATCATCATATTTCTTCTTGGGTACGTCTTTCTGAAAACGTTTCAATGGCTACATTTACATTTCTTAATTATCGTATGATGTGAATGTATCAGACGAATGGCTAAAAGTTTCTATTCTTGATATAATGCGTACCACTATTAAGCTTCTCGTTACGAGCGATAGAAGGATTTAGATGATATTACGGGCACTATATGTATTCTGTATTCGAAATGTGAATGGTGTCGGTTCAATGAGATATGTACTGGTATTTTGATAAAAGATTGTTTAAGGCAATTCACATTTTTATATCTTAGATAGTAAGACATGAATGTGAATCAACGGGATTCAATCTGGGCAGTTTATATATCACTTCGTAGCGTAGGTCTGGGAAAATAGAACATGAAATGTACAGAGGAGAGCAATAAAGGTATTTTTGAGTTTTCTTTATTTAGCTTAAAGTACGAAAATTGAAAAAATAGTTGGACTTAAAGTAACAAGTACAAAAAAGATAAAAAGTGCCAAGTTACGAGGATTATGCTGAAGTACAAAAAGTACAAAAAAAGAAAAAAGAAAAAAAAGTACAAAAAAAAGAAGTGTCAAATTACGAGAATTATGCTACTTGGCATGATCGGTGGTGATGTTCAATAGTCCATTTAGCATATTTTGGAGTGATTGAGATTCCTTCTAATCTGATGTGAGAGAAATAATTAGTCAGGAAGTTGTATATCCTCTTATACGTTAGTGATGTATATCATCTTGTAATCTAAGATGTATATCCTCTGGTAACCTGTCCTCGACAAAACTTCCTCAGCTATAATGCCACTCTCCTTTAGTTTCTTTGATGATGTTTTTCTCATCTCCTCCTTAGCCACCTGTTGCGCTTATCGAATTCTCATTCCCATACAGCGAAACAGTGGAAGGTACCAAACTGTCTCCTAAAACCTCTCGAACACTGCACTTTACCTCTCCAAAACCTTTAATCTTCTTGTAAACTGTAGATATGGCGTAGGTTTGCCTTATACGTCTTTGGAGCTCTCGTGTGGTCCAGATGAATGATTTACCAGCATTTTGCGTCTATACCAGACTCGTAACGAGATTAGCATTCTCGCAGTCTACGTTTACCCTTTCGGCAATTCATTCTCCATGATAGCATGAGTGTTTACTAGCGCTCGGTTGACTTCTATTCCATTGTTTCATGTTCATCAAACGACTCTTTCGCACTCGGTGAATACCAACGTCGACGAGAATGTGATTGAAAAGCTTTTGCAGGTAATGAAAACAAAAAAGCTTCTCCGTCGCATAGCTGAATCAACAAATCCCGTAAAAACAACTTAATCGATTCGAATTCTCGAACCGAAGTTCTGGGTTTCCCATGTGGGTACTGATGATGTAAAATCTAATAACAACAACACGCTTACAAAACTTCTCCCGCGGACATTCGCGGGGAGGGGGGGGGGGGATTTTGCTCGAAACCGAATGGTCTGCCAATGTCATTAATATTACCGATGTCATTAATATTAATATGTCATTAATATTAACAAGCTATGATTTGGCTTGTATCGATCATTGTTGTCATTGATAATATTTTTATCATTATCGAGGTCGTTGTTACCTAAGCATTTTTAGTTATTATTAACAACCTGCCTTTCTTATCCTCTTCATAACATCTTATATACTAAATACATAACTGATCCGTCCATTTACTCGAACATATACCGATTATGATTACTGAACGTCACCACTGATCATGCCAAATAGCATAATCCTCGTAATTTAACATTTCCCGTCGAAGTTTATTCACTGTTGTAAAATACTGAATCCCTGCCACAAGAAGATGAAGATCTTCCTCACTAATTATTTCTCTCGGGTCGGAGAGAATCTTAACCACTCCAACGTATACCAATTATGACTATTGATCATGCCAAATGGCATAACTTTCGTAGCTTGAAATTTCCGGTGGAAGTCCATTAGATTGTTGCAAACTACTGTATTCTAGCTACAAGGTGACCTACATCTCAGTTATGAATTTTTCCTCTCGGGTATGTGTCAATTTCAATTTTTGTACTTTGGGCCAAATTGAAAACTATAAATATATGTGTGTTGCTGTCCCCTCTATATGTCCTCCTGCATGTGCACAACGAATTGGTACATGAAGTGCCCTTATTGATTCGTGGAAGGAATTCGCATTTCTTAGCAATAAAAATGTCCGTTGGCAGAGTGTCACTCGTTTCGTACTTGTCCAATTGTCCGCATACCAATGACCACCCGCACGTTGCGATACGAGACGAACTTGAGTGGATGAATCGCTTCAATTCTCAAACACAATCAGAGCGCTGAGAGTATCTCTGAGATTTTGAGGTGCAGACATCGTGAGAATTTTCTTGGGAGGATAACGTCACCAAAGTGATCGATCACATACGTTTTTTAGCTGGTATCCGAACATGGTACCTTAGTGAGTATGGTGATAAAAATGATAAAAGTGAGACTTGTCAAGTCTGAACGAGGCTTCCTAGTGTTTGGATCCATAAGATGAGTCAATAATTCGCATTTTTAGAGTTCGTTTCATTGATTTATTTGTTTTTTCGATGATGACGAATCATTGCAAAACTCAACTCAGTTGTGTTGTCAGGAAGTAAAAGTATGTATGCGCTCTGCACTAATCTCACCTCAGTATGAGTGGTGCCAAGTTAAGATAGTCATGTTCAAGGCGATGTAAAGGTGTGAAGATTTGTCATGTTTCTGTCGCAATTTCAATTGATTTGTTTTTCAGGGTTCCGTAATCGTGATTGGTTTTGATTGATGTTGAACGATTGTAGATTATGACAAGCACGACTATTGTAGATTGAACATTGTTTCCTTTGTGCGATGTATTTTTGTGGATGATAAGAAGCGTGGTACTTATTTCTGCTTTTATCACAAGTTAATACTAATATTTGGTATTATTACTTGTGTATTATTATTTCTTCTTGCTTTTCGAGTTTTCATCGTAACATTGAATCAATTCAAGCATAATCTGGAAGGTTGGTTTTTCCAAACGTTTCGTCATGTATTTTCCATTCTTTTATTGAAATGACGCGCTTAAATATCTACTCGATTTGGGTTTTTTGTAGGATACTGTGCATGAAGTTGAATAAGAAAGAGTTATTTCTAAAATAATAATCAGGTTAATGGCCGTATCAAGTGAATGATACGAATATGCGATCAAATCTGTTTTAAGATTGGACCATTGCAACAGGCAAAAAATGAGTGGAATACTTAATAATCCAACTATGATGTCGTTGCCATCATCTCCGGCAACAATTCCACAGCAGTATCAACAACAGCAGCAGCACCAGCAACCTCCCGCACTGTGGATCATAAGTGATGTTGAGCAAAAGCAAAACGATATTCAATTCGCAACGTTAAATCCAATTAATGGTCTTGTTTCGGGTGAACAAACCAAAGCACTCTTCATGAAGTCGGGACTTCCTGCACAGATACTTGCACAAATTTGGCAGTTGGCTGATTACAATAAAGTTTGTTTGTGATCTTTTATTCGATTTGTAAAACGTCAATGAGCAGTTCTCGTTCACTCATGTATCGATCATGCATTGATTGAAACACGACATTTCATTTAGATTGATTGAACTGAATTAATTCAGGATGGTAAAGTTGATCGGCATGAATTTTCGATTGCGATGCATCTGATTCGTGCTGTTATGGCTGGAGTGCCTCTCCCACCAACACTACCTGATACAATGAAGGTACTGTTTATTCATTATCATCCTTATTCTTTCCATTCGATCGCACATTCTTGAGAGAAATGTCATTTTGAAGTCCGTCGATCAAATCAGCCAACTTTATCGCCCGACAATGCTCAGTTGTAATGCCAATTGCACGAAGGTGTGATTTGCAGTGATAATATTATTGTAATGAACAAGTAAAAATTGTTTCAGCCCAAGTCAACAACACCAGCATTCGGTAACATATTAAGCACAACGAGTAGTCCCATTGGTATAATGCAACCGCCACCGTCATCAATGGCCACTCATCAGCGGTTAGGAATGAGTTTTGATGCAAGTGCTGGTAAATCCTTACCGACTGGTCTAACTGGTTTGATGATGGGCGGCATAACGGCCAGTTCAATTCCATCAACACCAGCCGGTGGTGTGATGATGATGCAGCAACCAACATCATTTCAACCACACATTCCTACCGCTAGTCTTACACCTCAATCGCAATCTCCTGCATTCGGTCGTCAGCAAAATGACTGGTCGATAGCACATGCAAATAAACTGAAATATTGTCAGCAGTTCAATCAGCTTGATAAGGGACGTGTTGGTAGTTTGAGTGGTGTTCATGCCAGGTTAATAATTCATGTTGTTTTTATTGAGGTTTGTTTTATGTTTTACTATTATTGATGATTGATTGCAGGAATGTTCTAGCACAAAGTCAATTGCCGAATATAACATTGGCTGAAATTTGGAATTTGTCTGATGTGAACAAAGATGGACGTTTGAATGTTGAAGAATTTTGCATCGCTATGCATCTGATTGATTCCGTTAAGGTGCTTCTATGAATCTTTTGAGTGGTTTTGTTTCTTGTTATTGTTTTATTATTATGATCATTGTTGTTATATCGTTCAAGGCCGGTTTCGCGCTTCCAAAGATACTGCCATCGGAATTGTTGGCAGTGTGTGTACGCTCGAAGAGTGAATCACCGGTGATAATGATGGATAGTGGCGAGATGAGTAATAATCAAATGAGTGCTGCTCTAAACGCTGGAGGTGCGACGGTTGCGGGTGGTGCTGGTGTAATGCTACCGGCACAGAAGGTACAGCCGTTACGTACGTTCGAAGATAAACGTCGTGATAATTATGATCGTGGCCAGATCGAACTCGATCGACGTCGACAGATCTTACGTGAAGAGGTGATTAATTGATTGATTGCGTATTGCATTCATCTCATTGTCAGTTTTGATATTTAACAATTTTCGGTGTGACTTGATTGATTTGTTTTTGGCAGTCAGCTTTGTTTATCCATTTGTTCTTGATATTGTCACTTCATTTTTTGAGGAGGAAAGACGTAAAGCTGAGCGAGAAAAAAAGGAACGAGAAGAGCGAGAAAAAAGAGAGCGTGAACGTGAAGAGATCGAGAAACGTCGACGTGCTGAGAGGGAGGCCGAACTGGAGCGAGAACGAGAGCGAGAGGCGGCTAGACAAGCCGAGGAACGCCGTATTCTGGCAGAGAAAGAGGAAGCTAGACGTGAAATGGAGAGACAACGTAAAGCTGATTTGATTGCAATTCGGATTCGTGAAATTAAGGTTGTCTTCATTCGTATTGCATTTGATAAATTATTCAAGGCAAATTCAACCGATGGCTGAAATACATGTGTACATATTTGGGAGATAAATGAAGAGAACTGATAATTGAGATGTCAAAGATGATGTGATTTTATGATGAGTAAAGATTAGGCTTCGTAAGCGTGATTGAATTTGGGATGTCGGATAAGTTTAAAGTGGATCGGATACTTATGAGTTTAGAAGTAAGATCGAAGTGTTCTATTCTGCTCTCATTGTGCTTTGAAAGACAGAGAAATATGAATATGTAATCTCATAATGATTTAGTCTCAACGACAGAATGAAATCGATAATACGGCCCAGCGGCAGCAACGCCAAAAGACACTTTCATTTCAGTTACAAGCGTTAAATGAAAAATCTGATGAACTTAATGCTGGAATAACGAAGGTGCGTCTTTAAGCAGTGCGCTTGAATTTTGATTTGTCTCTTAAAATCTTGATGTGAACGTTTTGAGATTTGAATTTATTATGTTTCGAGTTTCGTCTGTTATACGTTTGTTTACAAGTGGTTTCTTTTTGAAGGCTCGTGATCGTATTGTACAAATAACCAGCGAAATTGAATCAATGAAAGCGCAGCGAGATGAGAAGATGGCCGTTATTCGTGCGAATGAAACGAATAATCAAAATGTTAGTTGGTTCGGTTCACTGATTTTGATTTCCTTTATTCATTGGATAACTTGACTATCGATAACGGCTCGGGTGTTATGATATGATTGAAGAGGATCTAGAATGTGAAAATATATTGACCGACGAAAGAGACTGAGCTGGACGGGATGAATGAATATCCTCACTAGAGAATTGGAGCATTGGTGAATTTTATTTTTTGTGATAAATTATTTTCAAGGCGAGTGTACAATGTGAACGTTTGGCGCATGAAAGTCTTCAGTTACAAGCCGAAAATCAGAGTTTGAGCGGTGGGAGTCAGAAAATCGAACAACTTCAAGCATCCATGGAAGTCCTGAATAAGACGAGTCACCAACTTCAAGAACAACTACAAAATGCCGATAATAGGGGTCAATTGCAACAGCAATTGGTTTCAAAGGTTTATTATTATTATTATTATTACTATTATTACTATTATTATTATTTTATTATTATTATTATAGTTATTTTCGTTGTTGTTTCATATACATCCAAATGAAATTTGAAATGAATTTTATTATGGGCTATGTGACAATGGTATTTTATTGATAATTACGCTATGTAATGTTAAAGATGATAATATTCATTCAGAAGGCAACAGAAGTGGAAGAATCACGGAAGCGTTTAATGGAGTTGATTGAAATGAATTCATCATTACGTGAGCAGTTACTGAGCATTCAACAGAAGGCATCTGATAAGATTCAGCAGCAACAACAACAACAACAACAAGCAATTCAAAACGCTCGTGTTCAGCAAACTTTTTTGAATGGTTTGTTTTGATTCAATACATATTCCTCTTTATCATTTCATTAATCTCTTCAATCTTAATTCATTTATCCATTCATTTGACCAACAGTTAAGAATGCAGTTTTAGTAGCGATTGCAATACTTGCAGAAACAACAGCAACAGTGAGCAACAAAGAATCAGGTTTTGCTGCTAATAGTGGTGGTGTCGAGCAGATTAGAGGACAAACCGCAAGATCAGATACTGCACCGCGCAATGGTTCGACGACGGCAACGATGGCTAGTGGAGCTATTCAAGGAAGTTTGGAATCTGAAGCGACTGCAGGAGAAGGAGGTGGCTCATCAGTGTCCACTTCATTGCCACAAGCTCAAACCAGTAGCACTGGAACAGCGGTGAAATATCGTGCGTTGTATGAGTTTGAGGCTCGAACAGGTACTTATTGGATTGTTTCTACTTGTCATTCATCTTAACCATAGATGCTCGTGTTGTTAATGTTATTAGATTTTTTTTTCAATTTCAGAAGACGAACTAAGTTTCCAACCAGGAGACATAATTTTGGTCTTCGAAGGGCATACAGCTGAGCCGGGTTGGTTGGCCGGACAAATGCGTGATAAGGTGGGGTGGTTCCCGCTGGCATTTGCTGAGCCGATCGCGTCCATAAATACAATTTCTAGTCAGGTTTGTGTGAAATTTAGCTGATGAGTATTTTTGTTTACGTGTTTGAGTTGGTTTGATGAAAAAGTTTCAGCCTCCTCCGCAAACTGTATCAGCCGTAATGTGCTCTCCATCCAGTGAGCCGTTGCAAAGTATCAGCGAAGAACCAGCATTAGCGATGGCTTTGAGTTCGACAAGCGCGACTCGATCGAATGAATTGCAGTCGCAACAACAGCAAGCTATTCTCGATACTACTAATGGTATGTTACCCATTATTATAATTAACCTTCATCGATCACCTTACCTTCCAGTTTGCTTCTGTTGTGAAATTTTTCCGGGAGAGAAGCAGGCTGGAAGGCAAAGCGAACGATGAGGGTTCCATTTTGAAATTTTCATTGTTGCAGTAGTAGCAACGGCAGTGGGAGGATCCGTAGTGGATGAATGTTCGTTGAGCAACGTTGTTGCAAGTTGCAAATCGTCACCTTCAAATGATAACATCGCCAAAACACCACCACTGCTATCATCACCAAAACAACAACAGAGTACTGCAGTCGAAAGCAACGCATCAACGCCAGTCACAGCCTCGCAGAGCAACATTGGTCTAGCAGTAGCACAATATCAGTGGAAGGCACGCAACGATACAGAGCTGAACTTGACAAAAGGCGATACAGTGGAAGTGTTGGAACAGCACGAAATGAGATGGAAGGTTGCTTCTTGTTCCATCCGTCTGTGCTGTCTAAAAACATTTGTATCTTTTCTGATAGCTAAGCATGCACGTTTTCATTCGTCTAAATTAAGGGTCGTAATCAAAGTAGTGGCGCGATTGGATGGTTCCCGAAATCGTATGTGAAGATGCATGAAGATGGTGCAAATGAGCAAGTAACAAGCAGAAAGAGTAGTTCACCAACAAAATCAGTGCCACAACAGCAGCAACAAAGAGCGTCCTCATTAAGTGGTCAAGAAACAGCTATTACAGATAGTGCTCAAATAAGTAAAGACTCTTCGTTAACGACTGCAGCGAGTTTCGATAATGAAAATATGAAGATGAGAACCGTTGATGGCCAACAACCTTGTGCTGCTGGTGCTGGAGCATCTGCAATTCCAATTTATGATATTGTTTCAAGTTGGCTTTTGTTTGTACGCGAAGTTTTGTTTGTCTGATCAGTAGTTTCATAGGTACCCATCGATATTTTCTGTCCATCCCTCCGTTCATCTATCTATTTGACAGCCTTAAATGTCAACCAAAACAGGCCAGCAACTTTACAAACGTTTGGTTGCCTGGCCAAACCAAGTAAAATGTGAACCAAACCATCAGTGTAAATTTATTCCCATCGATTTGATACGATTGTCATTTTGATTTTTTGATGAATGAGTCAGTCAATCAACGATTTGATGAGTTTATTCCGATCGAAGTGATTTAGAAAATGAAATTCAGATGAGCCTGATGAACACGAAGACACTAATATAGCAACAGCAGCAGCTACAACAACAAGTGCTGATGAAAATGAGGGTGAATGGTACATAGCATTGTATGATTTCAAAGCGACCGAACCAACAGATTTGGATTTGAAAGCTGGTGATCGTATTTTGGTGAGTGAAACGAGTGATGATTGGTGGAAAGGTACTTGTAATCAACGTTCGGGCATTTTTCCAGCCAATTACGTCCAGAAATGCCCTGAGAGTACGCCTGAGGCTGCTGCCTCTTTATTGGCGAATACCACTTCAGCCACAGGTTTTGATTTGTTATTGTTCATAGTTTGATAGTGTTAACTTGACGATATTCTGCACGTTTAGTGGTAAATTTTAGGTGTTGGGGAAGGTGTTGCTGAAACAGGTGGAACAATCCTTGGAATCGGACGTGCCTTGGCATCATTCGAGGCTACTGCAGAGAATCAGTTGAGTTTACATGTGGGTGATACTGTGACAATTAGAAGTAAGTCACCAGCCGGTTGGTGGCAAGGAGAGGTGAGATGTCGTTTTTGGGTTTGCGTTGAAATTTATGTTCGTGTCGGGGTTGATTTTTGTTTCTTTCAATGTTTTGATGATAATTTTGTAAGCAAGAATAAGAGAATGACATTCAGATTATGTCAATTAATGGTGTAAAACGTGTGGGATGGTTCCCGGGCAATTACGTTGAAATGATACAACAAGAGAGTGAATTACTCGCTGAAGCGTTGTACGACTATTCGGCACAACGCGACGATGAGCTGTCGTTTAAGAATGGTGATTTAATCGTTGTCACCGAACGTTTCGACAATGAATGGTGGAAGGGCAGATTGCAAATGATGAATGCTGGCCAAGAAGCACTCTTTCCAGCCAACTACGTAAGGCTTAGGTGAGAAATGCTCTAACCAAATAAATCATAAATTGTAATTACGTATGCAATCTGAATTGAGTTTGCTTATAAAATATGATCGAAATACATTCATTTATCATATATCTTTTCATCCAGTCAATATTTAAGTAGTCCATATTGAGTTGTTGCACTCAGTAATTCATTTGGTCAGTCACTATTATCCATCTGTCAATACATCCTTCTGCTCGTAAAGTGTGGATACCTGAGCAGAATGTTTCGTTGTTAAGAAATGAAATTTTACTGAATTGATATGAACAACTAACATCCATTACAATGTGATTCCACCATTAATAATGCAAAAGAAAGGTCGATTGATGTGTGCTTGCTTGTAAAAATGCTTTATGTTTCATTCTGGAAAACACATATACAATTTGTTCAGAGTTTAGTGGCACATCCGATTTATTATCAGCAGAGCAACAACACTGGCAGTGGTATTAAAATATTTGCATTGTTTGTGTTAATTGCTTATTGCTGTGGATGACAACTGAATTTGTTCAATTGCAGTTCTCAGATTCTTGAAATTTTTATTCCACTTACTCTCACGATTTGTTTGTTCCTAATAATCTCACCTTCATTTCGCTTATCTTCATTTAATCTTTTCTGAACATTCTCTCATCGTTCACCTTTATGCATTTATTTCATAGTTTATTTAGTTTCATCCTGTTGCGCATCGCTTCATTGCTGAACAGTTTTTTATTCGGAAAAAGTATTCCAATATATTTGTTAGTATTTCACTTGTGCATGCTGCTACTGTGACAGTCTTCAGTAAACATGCAACTCTAGAAATGTGCGTTGATTGAATTTATGTTCCGTTGATTTTCTTGGTCTAGTCGAACGAGCAAGGTTCAGCGATGCTAGAGCACAACATGTTGTCAAGCAATATGCATATTGATAAATAGTTGCGTGAAAGGTTTTAGTCTGAGGATGATCAAAGAAAAATAAATTGCAAACTGTATGCCGTTCAACCAAATCACCAGTTCTTAAATTGTTTTGGCAGTTTTTTTCTTTGTTGTTGTTTTTGTAATTGTTAGTTTTTTGGTGCTTAGTTTCGTTCGTTGTTGCATTATTATTGTAACGTTATCAAGAAATCTTTTCGAATTTCAATGTTCATTCATTCACAGGAAAACAAACGCACACACATACAAATAGATGCATCATGTTTGTTGCTACGGTTTGCTTGAAAGTGTTTCGAAAATTTGGTTTCAATTCAATTTTTTTGAGTTGATCGCAGAGAATTGTTGGCTTTGGCATACGTAGTATGTGTTGTGGAAGTAATTTTTCGTTGAATTTTATGCATGTTGTGCAATGTCCAATCTTGATAGGTCATGCAATTGGCCGATTGGCTCCATCGGAGAAGTGGAAAATAAATTGGTGGGTGGTGGGGAGAGGGTGGTGGATGGATGGGTCGTTCGGTTAGTCCTCAGGGGAGATGGATGGCAATAAGTAGTCTTTTATTTTCTCTGTTTTGTCATTTAATTATTATGCATCATCGCTGTGAATACGAGAATCTTTTGATAAAACTAATAGTGGTAATCATAGTAATAATATTATTAACAATGGCAATATATTTCAGTCGAGTAGAATCTCTGTTCGAACTGTTTTTTTGTTGGTAATTTGTTCTTTTCTATTTGATTGAGCTTCATTTTCCTCTATTTATAATTTATAATTTTTTTATCGTTTTTGATTTTTCGATATACGTATATTTAGACATATGTATATATATATATATCTTTTTCACTATCATTATCGTTTATTATTGTTATTATGGTTATTATTATCATCATTATTATTGTTATTGTTATCTTATTATTTGCTTTTGTATTTGTATTAGTTTTGTTGTTACGTTATTGTTGATGAGAGCCGCCGCAAACCAAATAATGCAATAGAATTGTGTTTGACCGTCGTAATGACGAGTTGATTATTATAAGTATTCGTTGAGTAGTGATTAATCTTACAGCATTTTGCCATTTCTAGTGCATTTATTCTTAAACTCTTTTGTTCGTTATTTCTTTCCTTATTTATTCTTTTACCATTGAATTGAGCATTGTTTTGTTGTTATCCGCTTGTCATTGTATTATCTGATGCAATGATTGAGCCTAAGCCAGTAATTTATTTATTCGTTCTTACGCTAAATTCGATCATTCGATTTTTTTTGCATGAATATTTTTTTCTTCTCAAATCAATTCAATTTAGAGCTTTTCGTGATCTGTTTCTTTCTTATTTCGTTTGAAAGCCAAACTACGCTCGATGTACGTAATCGTTTCGGAGATTCTTTTTCATATCTACAAATCTCATCTCATTTATGGTCATATATGTATGTGTAGGGTGCATGATAGAGGTAAAGCATCCAAACTATATTAGCTGCGTCAGAACGTCCGCTATGAAAACGTTGCATTCCTTTTATCGTTCTCTTCAGCATCGTTACCACATCACATCGCATTCATCCTCTTTTCAGACAGATCTGTCTACTTGTTGTTCATTTACAAGAGTCATTACCGTCTTGTATGCATCGTTTTCTTTATTAGTGTTCATCAACACAACACCGTCACTTTTTGTATGTAATACCTGAATAAACACTTTTGAGTGGTAGTCTTTTTTGTTTTTGGATTGAATGGGTTGGATTGATTTTCGTTGCTGTGTTGTTTCTTTTTTGTTTATTGATATCTTCAATTGTTATGCAGATAGTAATTAATCATTTCATAATGTGATGTGTCGGTTCAGTCGGTATTATTATTATCATCATCATTATTATTAATCTCATTAGTATTATTGTTGTCATCAAACGAAAGCGGTGAATGCTATAACCAAAAACGGAATCTTTTATGAGCATTGATTTGTTTGTTTGTTTTTCATATATTCCATCAATGTTTTTTTTTCAATTTTCCGGTAGGTCTTATATTTAGATAATAACAGTACCTATTGTTCTTGCTATTATTATTATTATTATTATTATTATTAGTAATATTATGTATTTGATTTTACCTACTGCAGTCATTGATCATGTTGATTTTTGCGATCAGCTAACTAATTTATTCATTTTTTAGAAAAACTTTCATTCGTCCGTTCATTATTTTTGCTATTATTATTTTTTAAATCATTATTATTATTGTTATTATTATTATTATTATTATTATTATTATTATTATCACTATTATTAGTAATTGTCATATTGTTATTGTCTACTTACTATTATTATTATTAGTATTAACAATGTTTGTTCAATGAAACATCTTCTTATCAAGAGTAAGTAAAAGGAGCTTATTTCTGATCAAAATTATATCCCTCTATCAGTATCAGCGAAGAAATTCGCGAAAGCACCAAACATCCATCCGTCTATTAAAAGCAGCACTAAAGTCGAGTGGGTGCTGAACATTCGAGAATAAAGTTTGAGTGTAAAAGTGATGATAGTGATAGTGCTACTGATAATAATAATAGTGGTGATAATAATGAAGAAGAAACCGATATTATTATTGATGGTAATAATCGTAACAAATTGAATGATAAAAATTAGTGATCTTAGTGAATAATGCGTTATTGTTCATTGATGAATAACGATGTTAAAGATGTTAAAGAAGAAGAAGAAGAAAGAAGCAATTGCAGAGACAATATGTAAATTGAATGAATGAAGCCAAAAAAAACAAATAAATTTATGGATTTCTAATTAGAAGTTGTGTTGGTGTATGTGTGTGTGTGTTTGTGTGTGGTGTTTGTTTGTTTTAATTGTTATTTATTTGATGATTTGCTTGCTTATTGTTTATTTGTTTTGTTGTAGTGCTGATTATGTGACGACGACCACGATGATGCAAGGCGGCCAATCGAAAACAGCCAAACAAAGTGCAGTTTTAGGAACCGGAGGAGGTGCAAGTGAAACTGGAGACAGAAATGCTATACTAAAAGAACTACAGCAAAAGTTGGTGACGAAACGAAGCGATGGTGATATGATGGCGAGTAATTGTAGTCGTTTCAATAATCACAGTAATAATTTCATCAATAAGAAACATACTGATCATTCTATCAATTATTCTCACCGTTGTCCTAGTCTAAGTCATCGTATCAGAACAGTGCAGCTCCTCCATTTGCAGCTGAATCAATAAGTCCAGCAAACGCCGAAGTCTCTAGCTTATTTACATCACCCACGTCGAGCATGTCTTATTTTGCTCAGCAACAAGCGCATTTCAAAACTTCGTCATCCTCATCTATATCGTCTAATCGCATTTCTTCCGAGCGAACGAACATTAATCAAATGGCTGCTGCTACATCGAATGCAAATCAAACAGCACCAAATATTTCATCGAGTAGAGTCACCAATCTAACTGAGGTATGTTGTCAGTCGCGTGCCATTTGTATGTGTTGTTAGTGAATTTAAGTAATAGTAACTTTGGTGGAGGACATGTGGCAAGATAAAATCATCGAGACCAACTTTGGTGTCGGTCAAAAATTACTGCGATCACTTACAGCAAAGCGTCTATTTTTGAGTCTCAGCTATTTGATGCTGTTTTCTGTGTGACGTATTAATTTGTGAATGGTTCTATGTGTACGTACAACATCAGGAATTGTTGGAAACGGAAATTCGATTCAAACGAGACTTGATGATGTGTAAAGATGTGTTCGCAGTGCCGATAACATCGATCATTGGTCAGTCTCTCGCTGATCATTTATTCTTGAATATTGATCAGCTGATCAGCAATTCTCAAGAAATCATCAATGCTTTGCAAAATGCAAAGCCACCTACAAATGTCGGTCAGTTGTTAATCGTCTATTTTTTTAGCATTTGTTTTGTTACTGTGTAAAATTATTGATGCGATTATCGTATTCATTAATAATCAGCGTTTTATTCTAAATTGTTAGAGTCGTTATTTATTAATATTATGTGTGTTTTTCTGTATACGTGTGTGGTAGAAAGCAAATTATAGCACAGAAAGAGGTAGATTTTGAGTGCCTTAACGAATGGGTAGTTAATTTATATAGTTGTTTAATTGATTATTTGTTCATTATAGGGAAAGTTTTTGTGGAAAAAATGCCACTTATGGATGCGTTCGTAACGTTTTGCTCGAGTCAGCAGTCTGCACTAGAGCTCTTAAATGAACTCGAGTTGAACAATTTAGAATTCCAGCAGGTTTGAACTGAAGACACGCACTCACCACTTCTACTGCTTCCAATTCACATAATTTTATTTCAATTTTTGATTTGTTTATTATTCGTTATTGGTTATTGAGTTTGGTTAACAATTTACAACTTCAGACATATCGTCATTGCTGTGAATCGAGACGATCGCGCGGATTGAATCTCAGCTATTTGATGCTATTACCAATGGCTCGTATTACTCGTTATCCACTGTTGTTTGAAAAGCTGCTCAAGTACACGCCAAAAACAGATGAAAATTATAAAGTGAATTATTTATTCATCAACTGATTATTGATCGAAATTAAGTAACAAAATATTTGGCTAATGTTCGATATAATTTTGTAGTATTTGGAAAGCGCATATGTAATGTTGAAATCGAAATGTGCCGAAGTGAATGAAGTAATTTGTGAGATGGATAATGCGAACATGTTATTATGGGCACAACATCACTGTCGATGTGATAGTATAGAACCAAAGATTCTTTTTCCGTCAACAACGAGGTGGGTAGGATTCGATTCATTCATTGAATCATGCATGCTTAACATTCTAGATTATATGCATTTGATATTGTTTTGTTTTTGTAGAAAGGTTGGGCCGCGACTCTTTTTGCATTCAGGAATACTGCAAAAACAACGAAGTGGCAGAATACTGGTTGGAATTTTGTTCAATGATTTTCTTTTATTGACTACACCAAACGAACCAATTGAGGAGGTTATTGTTTTGTTTATGCATTCATCGTTAACGTTACTATTATTCTTGTTTTTGTTACTATTACTTTATTTTTGTTACTCTGTTACTAATATTCTTGTTTTTGTTGGTATTGTTACGGTAATTATTTAATGAATATGATAATGAATATTTCATTTATTCATCCGTTGTATCGATTCGACCGGCAAATAATGATGAATTTTCAGTTGGACGGTTTTAAAATCACAAAAAATAGTGATATTCAATTGAATCTGTATAAAAGCCCATTATTATTGAGTGATCTGTATGTGGTACCGAGAGAGAAAGACACAGATGAATGTGCACTTGTTCTGAAACACGGTTCGGTTACTGATTTCATTTGCTTGTTCATTAATAATGATTGGTCATTTATTGTTGTTTACTTTCATTGTTCTTAGCGTTGTCTTTATATTGCACTGACCTCTATTATTATAGTTATTATCAGTACTACTATTTATTATTAATATCTATTGCTGTTATTATTATTATTAATATTATTGCATATCATCATTATCAGATTCGTTTGTAATCGTTTAAGAAGGTTGAATTCAGATGCGAATTTCATACAAATGCGCGCAACCAGCCGAAATGCTCGTGTTCTTTGGAGTTCACAATTGGAGAAAGCAATTGAAAATTATTGTCGTAAAGCGATGCCTAAAAAGCCTAAAAAGGTATACAGCAACAGTAATAAAATGATGAAGATGATAATAATAGTAATAATGATACTCAAATATTATGGTGAAAATAATCATAATAACAATCACTCTAATGATTATATCAGCTATAATGTTGATTTTAAGTGGTAGTGGGGGTAGTGTTGAGAATTTTCATAAAATGGCAGTCGATGAACGATTTAAAAAAAAAACAATTTAAAATGAGCAGTTACCTCACAAAATAATATTAGTAAATCATAAATTGCTGATTAAATAAGTAAATAAATTCAAATGTTTATATTGTTATTAGCGATTTTATTAGAGTTTGAGATGAAATTTATTTGAATAAAATGAAAAATTTAGGAGACGAATGCGCTATCGTTGGACTCATCAGCACAAGGTCGTTTGTTAATCGAATTGATGCAAGTGCGTAATGCTGCATCTTATGAAGCGTTGGTGGCAAAATCACCAAAATTAATTTGTGAATTTCAACTTGGTGATAACAAAGTGAATTCAGAAATTAATTTATTACAAAATTGCAATAGTGGTAATATTGCTAGTAATAGTATTGGCAACAGCCGTGCTGTTGATAAAGACTCGCCATCATTATTCACTACACAGCTACCAATTATTCAAAATGATAATAAAGGTGATAAGATTGCAAGAAATAATCCAAATACTACACGATTTCGAGTACTGATATTTCTGCCGAGACTCTATTCTCCTGATATTTGTGTTGGTGAGTTGTTATTTGCTTGTTTGTTTATTTGACTCATTAGATACTGATTATAATTAAAGTGACTATAGAATTGTCAACAATAGTAACAATAATAATAATGATAATAAAAATAATGGTAATAATAACGACAACCAAAGGTATTGGTGAGGTTGATATGCAAGAACTATCAACGGCTTCAGCAGCGCATCGTGGACCAATATCTCGAAAGATACTTTTAAGTAGTGGTAACGTCAATAAAATTAACAGTGGTGGTAGCAGTAATAATAATTGCAATCCGAGTGCAATTAATAATAATGTATCAAGTGGAGGTGCTGCGGGAGGCTGGTTTGTTATCGTCAAATTCGTTGTACAAATGTTTTATTGATTCCATTTTGAGTCAATGCTGAATTTCATTCATTATTATTCTGTGCAACAATTGATATTGATCGTGTTGTTATTATTGCTACTATCGTTTTAATTATTCTATTTGTGATCTTTCCATTACCAATACTTCACTTAATCAAGTATTATTGTTAAATCTGCACGATAATTCGAGCTTTATAATATAAATGTTTTTGTATGCGCTATTTTTGACGCATCAACTGTACATACGTGTAAAATTATTCATATATCTAAACAAGAAAGCAATATAAATCATTGTTAATACGGTAATGCTGTTTTTTATCATATTACTACCATCTTATTCGATGCTTATCCGATTCTTATTATTTTTATTACGATTATTATTATTCTTATTATTGTTGTTATTACTACAGTTGTTGTTTTTTTCAGATATGCAATAATTTTTTCATGAGATATTCAATAATTGTTCATCTTACCCTACCATACCAATCAGAATCTACCTATTTTACGCTTCAATTGCCAGATTAAAGCCCTTTTGCTCTAGTTGAATGCTTTGGTCTAATTTTACCAAAACAGTTCATATCAGTTTTGTTTTATGTCAGCAGTCGAGATTTTGCACAATAAAAGATTTATTTTAAAAAATTTTGTGATACTCTCTCAACGTCATTGTTATTGTTATTATTATTATTATCATCCTAGTTACTATCATTATCAGTCGTTATTTATTGAATTGTAAATGCATTATGAAAGAAAGAAGGGAAAAAATGAATGGTTGTGACTTTTAATGTGTTACTTTTTAAAATTATTCTTTTCATTTGTTCTAACACATTTTAAACACAGTTTTGTTCACAGTCGTCATTGTTATTTGTTTATCTACCCTGTTTTCACTTTTCTTTCATTCTGCTACTGTTTTCGTTTTATTTATTTATTTATTCGTCTGTTCACTTACCTCTTACAGTTTATGCTTAAAGTCTTATTTTTATGTTCTGATGCATGTTACAGTTTATGTTTTACTATGGTACTTATTTTTTATATTGAATGTTGAGTGAATGATTCAATTTTGGTTCATTTCAGTAGGTAATTAATTAATTTGTTCCAGCTTGCATGCGTTCAATTTTCGTTCATTTTTGCGTATGTCAGTTTGTCGTATATGTGCTAATCTATGTGTGCTTTGAACAATACATGTGAGTGATCAATGATGATTGAATGATAAAACCAAATGGTGTTTGTGTTGATCGGTTAAAAGGTGCTAATCATTAATTTGATAGGTGGGCGATGAGCTGTTGTTGCGTTTATTTACATGATATCGTATCTGTTTGCATGGGTGTTATTACATTGATTGCATTAATTGATAGCAGCTTAATGAATTGCTTTTAGTGAACAACGGCTGTCGCTTTCTGTTTCATTTTGTTTTATGTTCTGTGGTGGCGTTATGACAGTGCGCATTTCAATTTTAATTGCAATATGTTGAAGTTTAGGAGTAGAAGAGCAAACGAATAGTTTGTGTGGAGTGGATTTATTTCAGTGGTTTTTGATTTTGTTAAAAAAATGAATTGTTTGAGTTAAAAAAAGTGCATTGAGATCGAAATGAACTGATGTATTTTGATGAGGTGGAATAGTTGAGTACATATGCATGGATGAATGAATGGATTTGGAACAAATGGGTCCGTTTTGGCGGAATTTCAGTGGATTGAAAAAAGTGGAGTCAGTTGAGTGATCGTATACCATATACCGAGTGAATACATATCATGAAGAGGATTGTGGAACAATAGAAATAGACGTAAATGTTGAATAATAATTGTAGTAGTAGTAGCAATCATTATTATGATATTGGTAATGACAACTTCTGAGGAGGTTGATTTTTTCATTTGCTTCGTTATTATCTCAACCTTAATTTGCTTCATTTTTTTGATTCGTGGTGATGCGTCGTGGTGATGCATTCAGTATTGAGTCGAATAAATTGTGCATAAATGTGGTAGTGGTATTTGAAGTGATTTGAGTCATTTCATTCGATGATCAACATCAGTTATGTGAATTTTGTGGTTATTGAATAAGTGTTGAATGAAAGAAAAGGTTGCTTTGGTGCTATTACTGTTGATGTTATTATATTATTATTGTTGCTATTATTATTATCATTAGTATTATTGTTATTATTATTATCATTATCATTATTAATGTTGTTATTTCTGATCAAGTTGGATTGATACGTTTTTGTTTGATCGAGTTTGTTTGATCAACTAGCTCACATTAATTGATGACAGTGATGAAGCAAAGCGTTGAGAAGAAAGCAAAACAGTATCAAATCAAAGTGTTATCATATCTGTCTTATAGCATATCCTATGTACCTCTTATCACCAGCCTCATTGTTCGATCTTTTCTTTTACCGTCTCTGTTAATAATGGCTCATTAGGAAGGAGTGTTTTCATTTTCGTTTCATAAAGAGAAGAGAGGAACAGAGGTCATACAAAATATTCGTGCAAATAAGAAGTCATGAAATCAGTCGACGAGTACATGAATGTTCGATTGCTCGCTGAATTGTATTGCTGTTGATAGTAAGTGTTTCCGTTCGAGAAGACAAGTGTAATTCGTTGTTGGCAGTGAGCAAATAAACAAACTGTGTGAAAGTTATATACTGAGAGACAGATCAATGAAAAGGATGATCGAATGAGGGAGACGGGTATTTGTATGCATGGATGATACAGATGAGGTTCGATTGGATAGGATAGGATAAGTGCACTACAAATACCATAAGTATTATGTGTACAAATTAATGACTACTGGAGGATATATTAATATGGCATTGTATTTAACATATAATATGAATATGAGATGAAGTTAGTTAAGTTTGATTTTTGAGAGCAGTACCTTTTATGAGGAGTTATAAATGATATTATTGTCAGTTTGACGAGTTATTGTGTTTGTTGTTTAGTGTATTGTTGAATAGAAGAACATTGTGAGGAAGGACAATGTAGTAATGATAATAATAATAACAATAATAGTAATAGTTGTTATATATGGTATCATTTCTGTGTATATCATCAAATATTTTAGTATATCAACCGTGTATTATATATGATGCATATTGCAGTTGATATTACTAGCAGTTTTTTCATCTTATAACTTTTAATGCCGTTGTTTCATCCTTATCATTATAGTCCTCATAAAAATATTACTGCTACCGCTAATACTGGTACTGATACTTACAGTAATGCTCGAAGCTATTAAATAACAAATGTGTAACACAGTTTCGTTACTGTTCGATTGATCACAACATAATTTTTGAATGGGATTGATAATCTTCATAGATTCATCCCTGCCGATCTTGTTATCCGTTCATTTTAATCATCTCAGAAGTATCTTTTTGAGTTCACATCTCCTCTAGTAAGGACTAGTAATCAATCTGTACATTCATCCATCTATTGACTGAACAAATATCCGATTTACTAAATCTAAAACACTTATCTAACCCATCCATTTATCCATCTTGACTAAGCATGCGTTTGTCTGTCTCTCTCCATTGAAGCGTCATTGCAAGTAATTGTCATCATCATTTTGTCTTTTGATTATTATTATAATTTATTGCTTGTAACATGTGTTTTTCTCATACATTATAAATGCATATTACATAATCTAATCGCACTTCAATACATTCGACTCGTGTGAATATGTAACATATAGTATGTTTATATGTATGTCATCAATATAATTCTTTGTAAGTTGCAATTGATGGTATATAAGGATATGAAATTAATTTTTATATTTATTTATTTCGTTTTGTTTGGTAAGAGGTGAAATAAACGAATCACAGATTATTATCATTATTGCTACTATTGTAGTCATAAAAGTAGGAGGAAAGTAAAGTTTTAAAGAGGCTAAAGGTTAAGCGTATTCAAAAGTACTGTAACAGAGTGCAGTGCATCGCAGGGCATTTATTCATAGTTTCATTTGATCATTTTGTGTCATAACTACTACAGTAATTCATCAGAGACTTGTACGAGAATATTATCATCGTATCATATCACTCCTATCAAATCACATCCTTCTTAGCATTTGATTAATTCATTGATTGAGTCATCGTTTAATCGTCTTTCAATAGCACATCTGCCGATACAGTTAATTGTTTTTGCATTCGCTACACCGCTTTTTATGTGATGGATGTGATGAAAGAGTGAGTATGATATAGGTGAATATATGTGTGTGTTTCATTTTTGAATGATTCAAATGAGCGGTGAGAGTGATTGATGAGTGATAAGTGTTAATAGTAACGGTGACGGTGTATTACCAACGATAATGAGGAAATGCTTAAAGAAGGTAACAGTTACTGTCATTAGTGCAAATATCCATCTACTGATATTATACATACCTATGTAACGGTAATGGTAATGATTGAAGATGAGGCAATTGATTCAGTGTGACGTAATCACGATCATAATAGTAATTGTAATGATGATAGTAGTAATAATCATGAGCAGTAATAATAATCTTAATTATTCTATCAAAAGTACCGCAAATCGTGATGTAAAAGAAGGAATATCATCTATCTACTTAGACGTTTTTCAAAGGAGATTGTTGCATTCAACATTTGAAACCGTCTAATTTAAGGATAATTTCCTTCAGTAAATGAGGCTATCCGTTCGTTGCATGTGTACCTCATTGTTTCTTTGTATGAATGATATGTGAAGTATCAATTATCACTCAAAAAGTTGCAAATTGTTACTGACTATTATTCTCACTGTAATTATTGTTACTATTATTATTATTATTGTTTTATTATTATTGTTTTATTAATATTGTTATTCTTATTATATTTTTATTATTATTATTGCTATTATTATTATTATTATTATTTATTGTTGTAATCATTACTGCGATCATTTGGTGAATATTGATTCAGTTCAATTGAGCGTCAAAGAGGCAGTGTCGGCGACGTTAGATTACCATTGAGTAACTGTTTATGACGACGACAGCGAATGTATTATTATGGTGATCACTATTATATTATACAGGAAGTAACATGGATGGATGTCCACTTACTGATTTCAAC